AATACAAATACCTGCAGCAACCTAAAAAATCCTGAAATTGATCCTTTTTCAGGAAGATTATCTAAATGGCCCTAGTATTGATCATGTCAGTGGTGACAATGTTATTTGTTCTTGGCTCTTGCTTCCCCATTACTCCATCTCGATGCCATTAATGTACACCACAACTCAGATAATGAGTGTGGGTACTTCTCAGCTGGCTTTAGAGGCAGCCCTTCAAGTGAACATATTCGGAGAAGCATCATTTGGAGTGCTGTTACAGGATATAAATGGAATTGAAGTACCTGGTCCAGTTTCTGTGATATACTGCCTTTATCCACATGGTCTCTTGGGAGACAGTTTTGGGATGTGTGAAAGAGGAATTCCCCTCTGAATGTGGCTTCTGTCCTTTCAGGCCTTTTTTTGTACAGGTAGGCATTTTAAGCTTATTGTAGTTACCAGATATGTAAATAGACCTCTTGGAGTCTGGCAAAACCACAGCCACTGCTTGCTTCACTCAGTATGTCATTCAGACACTGATTCTTGACTGGTTTATGCCTGTTGAAGACTTGAGAAGAGACCATGGATGTGGGGCTAGGTGAACATAAGAATTGAATTTCTCAGCTTCTGAATTTTACATGATGGCTATCCCATGCATAAAAGGTAGAAGATAGTTATGCAGTATACATATTTAGTAGCTTCACACTTTTCTTTTTAGAAGACTTTTATTTTGCATATATAATAATAATCCTAGAAGGTAGTGTAATTACAGTAACTACAGACCTATAATGATAGCCTGAGGTTCTAGAAACAGTTTTAGTGACTTAAATACCACCTGTTATCAGTGTTTGTAATTCATCAAGGTATTTGTCGCTGTGCTTTGTTAAATTAGTTAAAAAGTCTGAAGAACATATAATACTTCATAATGCAGTAGATGAAGGAAATGTAAAGATTAATTTAGAAGGATTTCTGTTGTCATAATACACACAAGATAACAGCCTGTCATTTTTACTTAATATTTCCCTTAAAAGCCCAGTTCTTTGACTTATGTATTAATTTAATAAATTGTATTCTTTGATATTTCTGTAATTAAATTCCTGTAGGACACACTACCACTTGCTGTAGTAACTATTTTACATTATACATTGTGAAACAACCACAGTTAAGATTTTTCTTAATTGATGTTGACAGTTTATCAGAAAAGAGACATGGTCTGCAGTTAGAAGGAAATCCTTTCAGTAGGTTTACAAATGGCTTCTCAAAGATTCTCGTGTCACTGCTAGTACTCTCCCATAAGCAATAGCATAAATTAGATTAAGTACAGTAAGAACAAGAAATACTTTGAGGGTTTCTTTTATCAATGTTGATCACTGGTTTGTCTGTATATAATTTTGTTCTCTTGAACTATTGGGTCAATTCTTACAAATCCTTTTCATATGAAGGTAAAATTCCTTGTGTGTGTTTTTGTTTTTTCTTTTTTTTATGGAAGGGGGTCAGGGGAAAGTAGTGGCTTTGCAAATAACTTACATGGTGAAGAGGAAGATTTTGTGCTTAAAGAGACATACAGTTACAACTACCCTCACTGTTTTGGGGTTGCATAACAGTACCTCATTTTAGCAGTGATGTTAGGATATATATAAATCATACTCTAGATTTCAGATTAAAAAAAAAATCTTTAAAGCATTGCTTTTATTTCTATAAAGGGATTTTTTTCTTTGTAAGTATGGAGAAGTGAAATATTTGGGATAGTGCTGTGCACAATACTTGCATTATGCTAAAAGGTCAGTGGGCCTCACAAATTGTGACTGAAATTTCTTTGGAAATAATGTGATTTTTACAGATGCTTCTTTTTCAGTATCTTTGGCCAGAATGGCTTGATACAGGAGATTAAGAGTGGTACTCTGCTTTTGACTGATACATTGTTTTCAGGCAGTTGGTGTTTATGGGCAAGAAAAATTTACATTCAACCCAAGTAAAAATTTTTTGCATCTTTTGTCTTTTTGACAATTGATTATGTTTTTCCCCATTTCTGTACATATCCAGCTAGTGGGGGGAGGCTGTGAAGAATATTTGAGTTGTAGAAATGGCCAGAGCATTATATGGCAACTTCCACTTCTGTTTATCTTCATATTTTATGAATGGAGTTGTATTATTGTAATCTTCTGGTGGCAGAAAGATAGGTTTCCGAAAAAGATCTGAATTTTTCAGAAAAAATATATGCTGTTCTTGGCCACGTATTAAATAAGCAAGTATTGTCTCATCACCAAGATGACCCTGACCTTTTGTTGCCAGCCTTCAAAACAAGTTTGAGTCCCTTTTAATCCTTAGTTCAATTTTCAACTGGGCAAGTGATGCTGCCAAATGTAGCCTGTATGTTGACGTGCTGGTATGTCATCACTGGTCCTTCATGTCGTCACAGCTTCACTGAATTTTAAAGAGGGCTGTAACATTTTTAACGTTGTTTAAAAACTGCATAGTTTAAGGTGAAACCTTCAATCACTGAAGAGAGAGAAGTTCAGTACGTAGACTTTAGTGTTGGAAGTGTTATTCTGTAAATTGTTACAGTAAATGCAGTTATCTGAAAGTAATCCCTTTAGACCAAAATGTAATTTAATTTCTCAAACTTGGAAGACATACTCTTTCTATTAGGAAAATAAAGAAATTGCAAATAAAATATTTGCAAATGGAGTAACATATATCATATTCAAGGTGAAATAGTGATTCTTTCATTATAGGGGGATCAACATAACATTCCTTTTGGATTTAACTAGTCATCAGTGATTCTGTGATATATTCAATAATATATTTAGGTTATATAAAAATCATACAAGATTTTTTCTCATTGTAGAAGACTGGTAAAAGCACACATTGAAGGATAAGGTTAAGAATCCTGGTTTTCATATGTGCCTGTGCTTAACAATTTTGAAGTGTCTTCAACCTCCTGCCTCTGAGAGTTTGTAAACATTTTGTGAAGTTACTTGTTCAGTTACTTGTTCTCTCTTGGTGTGGAATCATTTAATTGCTTACCTAACTCTTGACAAAATTGATCTCAGTTGCACAGAGGAGACAGTAAATTGAATGTGGCTGCATATTCAAGAAGAGTATCAAGAGTCTTGAGGAGTTGGACATTTCTTTAAGTGTTGCCCTTTTGCTATAGCAAAGAAAGTTGCAGCCTTGACTCACATATTTTGCCTACTTTTAAACGACAGGAAATAGACTGTTTCTTATAATGAAAGTGTTGGACAGCTGTAACTGACAATATTAGTTCAGATCAAGACAGATAGGCCCATGACACTGTTCCTTAATATTATTTCTGGCTGCTAGGCTATGCATTTAGATCTAACTGATCTGGCTGCCAGCTGCTTCTGGCACATGGATTCCTGGCACAAAAAGCAGCTGTGATGTTGTGGAGTGCTGAGTTTGTTTTCATGCTACACCTCTTTACCCTTTCCTGTGACTTGCTCGTAGTGGGAGAGCTCTCTTACTGGGCAGTAAGGTTTTGGGGCCTAGGAAGTGTATGTACTGCAGTGCATGTGATTTAGCTTCCAATAAAATATTTTTTCAACAGCGTTGGGGAAACTCAAGTCTTCAACCTGCAGTGCTTGCAGATTACTGTACTTAGTAAAAATGTTACAACCTCTGTAAAGCCAATGAGTTGGAAGAGCATTTTAAATCTTGTATGTAGTCCTTTTTTTTTCTGAGAAGCGTCAGTGGAAAAAGTCAGCACAGCCTTTTAGCTTATATTCAAGCCCAAGAAGTCAAGGAAGTTAGAAAATGGAGAGATGAAAGGTTTGCTTGATCAAACTGCACTTTCTAACTAGAACAAAATTGTTGATATAAAAAGTGAAGTGGTACACTTTTGGTCTGGGTGCTATTACTACAGGAGTCAACTTCTGAAAGCTGTAATACAAGTTAACATCTTTTCAGCCATTAGCAGTTTTTCTTTTGTTGCTACTGTTAGCCTTTGCTTTTGTGCTGAAGTAAAGTATGTATATACATCATCTAATGCAAAGGTTCTAAAGCTGTTCTTTGCATAAATAACTATTAACAGACTTGTGAAGTGATACATGGGCGAGAAGGGAGCCCAACTGGGAGAAAGCAAGAACAAAACATATCTGTAAAGCAAAGGATTAGAGCCGACACAACAAACTTCCATTGAATAATTGTTTTCCCTTTTCACTGAAACATTTCTGAAAGCCCAAGGTTGATAGTCCAAGTAACTTCGCAATTTCTTTCAATACTGGACCCTGTCAGATGAAAATGGTTTAGAGTTTATAGTTTCCAGACACTTTCTAGATTCTGATTTGAAGTTAGTATTTCTGTTGTATAGAAAAAATCAGATAATTTAGAAGCTTTGGCTCCTACAGACATTATTTGCTTATCAATTTTGAAGAAATTGTAAACAACAAGCAGGACCCAAGGGTATAGAAATAACCACTAAGGCAGAAAATTAAAGCGATGTTTAAGTAAAATAATAGCCCCAAACTTAAACTACTTTAAAATTACTTTTGTTGTTCAGTGTTGGGTTTAGGTTTGCTCTTTGGGGAAACTTTGGGCTACATATTAACTTGTATTTCTTAGGCAGAACATAAAGCATTTCTCCTGATTGAAATGAGATTAATTTGCATAAGGCTATTTCTAAAAATCCTTTTTTCTTCAGAGGTTGAAATCGGACAGATTTCAAAGGGAGAGTTGTAGATTATAACATGGGAGGGTTGTGTATTAAGTTTAAAATGACAGCCATCTTGAGCAAATACGTACAGTGTGATAATTCTCAAAAGTGGCTGTGTAATTTTTATCGGAATGACTTAATAGGTTTAGAAAACCTTTGTTTCTGTTCCTTGTTTTTACATTGTGCATCTCTTCTGTCATGTACTGGCTTTTCTACTTTTTTCTAACTGTTACTTGTCTTATTTTTTCATGTTTGCCTATTGCCTTTCTGCTACCTTTTGGCAATGTAAACCTTGAAGTGTAAGATATCCTAAAAGACTTTTAATTCCTTTTTTGGTGGGTTTCTCTTTCAGGATAACATTTTGTCACCTGCCTTTCCAAAGTAAATGGCTATACGTGGGCACCGAAAGAGGAAACATTCACATTGTCAATGTGGAATCATTTACTCTCTCAGGCTATGTCATCATGTGGAATAAAGCCATTGAACTGTGAGTTTAATCAAGTATTGTCTGTTGAGGGAACAGAGGTGTCCTAGATGTTAACAACATCAGTTGCAGAAATGTCCTTGTTACCTAGAGTAGCCTACTTATTAGTCTCACTATGCCAAACATGTGATCAAAGTATGTAAATTAAAATGTAAATAATTCTTATTCTGATAGATACGAAATATTTATATATAAGCTTCTGCCTACAACATTATCATATCTGGAATAGACAGAAAAATAAACTAAATGGACAAAGTAAAATGAGACATAAATCACTATCTGTGGTGAGAAAGAACTAGAAGACTGGTATGTTAAAATGTGATGTGGCTGGTACTTGGGCAGGCATGTCACTTGTACAGTTCTGGGGTTAAAGCCAAAGCATTGCAAAAGGGCTAATACATGCCAAGTATAAAATTACTGGATTAAAAATGTAAATTTAAATAAGCCTATTACAAGAGAGCATGTTTATGTATAGATATTCATGTATATATCCCTAGTATTTTTTACAGATATTGTTATTGCTCCTCTTGTAATAATAAATTTATGATATTTTGTGGGTGAAAACATATCCTTTTGTGCTGTTGTTTTGTTCCCAGAACATTAGGTCTGTGAAGTCCATCACTTGCCAAAGACTATTGAAGGAAACACAGCTCTTCATTAGTCCATAATCTTTAATAGCAAGAAGTCAACATAAAGTCAATAATGGCAAGACCTGTTTTCCAGCATAAAAATAAACATTTTATCCAACAGTGTCAACTCTGTAACAACAAACATTTAGATATTATAAAGCTAATGGCAATTTTTTCCATGTTATGAGTAAGCAGTAAAGAAGTCTGTCTTATAAAAAGACAGAAACTAATGACTTGAAAATAGACAGAAAGGTTTATGGGCTTGAAGATAAAGATAAAAGTGTCTCCATGCTGAAATGTCAATAGTTTGCTTAGGTGGAGTCTGTACCTGCAGAATCTGTATTACTTGCCATCACTTTGAGATGCAGTTTTTGGCAGGGGAGGTTTTTAATTAAATGGAAATATTTCTTGTTTAGGTCATCCAAATCTCACCCAGGACCTATTGTCCACATCAGTGACAATCCAATGGATGAAGGAAAGGTAGGATATGTTTAAAGACTGTTCAGTACCTCGTTTTCCAAGCAAGCCTTTTCTTACATATAGATACCACTGCTTTTTAAGGAAGGATTGAGTATATGAGGATAATGTTGACAGCATCAGGGAAGGCTAAGTCAAGGTTTTAGGCTCTGAAAATAATATGAAGCAATGTACAGGCATGACTGTAAGAAACATTTCTGGAATAATTAAATGCACCATATAATCAGAAACACTTGAAAAAAGAGCTGAAAGGGCATAAATGCAAAAAATTCTTAAACAAAAGCAAAGTTACTCGTAGTGGTAAAAATTAAGTTGTTATCCAAAAAAAAAAAAAAACCAACCATAACCTGAATGCAGATATAGTAGGATGGAAGTTAAATCAACATTAGAATGCTCTTGGGTGTTGTGGTATAAATAGTTATTTACAGAGCATATTTTTATAGAAAACAGTGTACTTTGTCTTTAGCTAGTCCAAAGCAGCAGTTTTTATGGGATCTGAGGTCTGTGACATACTCTCATTTAACAGACAGCATCTAGGAATTATAATAAATTGCTTAAAGCATAAGTGGCTTTTAGTACAACTAGATAATTCAGAAAAGCCAACTAAAACATATAGGCAAGAGCTGTGTATTAGACTTGTCCCTTCCCTCTTTTGAGATAGTATTAACATAATAATCTTTTTATCTTGACACAAAACTTTACCAGTTCTTGAAGCCCTTGTGTGACAATTCTTGTCATGTGATACAGCAGCCACAAGGAAGAACTTGAGCTATGACCTCAATGGTCATAAGTTGCTTCTGTATTACTGAAGTAAATCAGAGGGTATTACCCTTTGGTTTGGGACACCGGTTATGAGGCTCATGCAAAACCAAGGTAGAAAGCATAAATTAGTTCACAGTGAAGACTTCATGAATTAAGAGAAAGCAAGGAGTTAAAATGTTTGTATGCCTGCTCTAGGTGACAGCAATTGCTGTACTTCCACATCATACTTCACCACTTAAGTAACGGTTTGCAAGTCTGTGCTTCAGGTAACAGACCTCTTCTACAAGTCTTGGGGTGGTAACACATGACTCGCCCACTCTGTGAAGGATCTTCAGCCTCTTTGTTGTGTGCCCTATTTAGTTATCTAGCAAATCTTGATCTGCTACAACTTTTGTTCAGATCCCTTGATCTGCACTGAAGAGTAATCAGGAGCGGTTTTCCTTAATTTTGGCAATAGGAAGAAAGCAAAATATGAAAGAAGGAATTGAAAACAGTAGTCTTGCATGTATCTTATCCAAAAGTATGTAGGCCTGTAACAAAAGTGTGATTATAACTTAGCCAGGGACTTTGATGCCACTCTAAACAGATGTGCGTTAATGACTCTGCTCTAGATTAATCAGACATAAGTGATTGAATAGATTGATGAAGTAAATTCTAATTTTTTTAATGAGTATAATGTCTCAGAAGTATCCTAGAGTTTAAAACTTCTATTTGTAAGAAATCCTCGAAGAAATAATTTTTCTTACTACTTTTCCATGTATGCAGGAGAAATACTCTCTTTTGGTTTACCTGGTTTTCATTTGACATGTTAGTGGTGGATAAACCCAAAGGGAGAGGAGATGATACTATTGTCTCAGCAGTGGTTTGAATGTTTTAATGGCATGCTTGTTATAAGCTTGTAACCTAGACACCTTAAGTTTTAGTCCACAAGGAGAATTTCCTTAGTGTTGGTTTTTTTTTTTCATTGGGATGAAGCTCCCTCTAAGTGCACAACTAATGAGTTTCTCAATAGAAATGTTTGAATGCCATTCCAGAATCATGGATCCTAGAATATGAATGTAATGAAGCTATGGTAACTGGAGAAAAGACAAAATTATCGATCAATTCTTGTGTATTCCACCCTCACCACACATTTAACTACTCTAAATTAAAGTTTGAGAATTACTGTTTTTATCAATCAGTGGTTTAGAATCTGACCTTACACTTTCTTCTTTATTGTAAGAAAAATATTGCTGAAAAATCCTGTGCAGTTGCAAGAAGCTCATGTGTACTCACTGTTAAATTTGTCCATTCTATTAGCCTAATAATCCCTGTGGGTTTTCTAATGTTTAAAGTTAAAACAGAGAAGTTTTTAAATTATTACTTACGATAAGCAAGTTTATTTAAAATAATAGTGTAGTTTAATATTTTTCAGTTAGTTTAGTGCTGTATATCGCTGAAATAAATCAAATGTTATCCGTAAACTGGTAGGAGTTCCTCTGTTATTTTTCATATTGGGAATAACTGTACATCTTGAAAATCTTAATATGCTGAAAGAACTGTCTAGGTAAAATGTCTAGATAGCGCTACAGACCAGATCAGTTTAGATCTCTATCCTTGACTACAATGGCATGTGTGTAAAGGCAGTGTTTTTTCTAATTTTTAATTCAAAGGACACTTCTCAGGGCACTTCTGTCTGCTTGTGGGAAATAGTCTGTTTCAATAACAAGTAAATCCCAGCAGCCAACTACTTATTTTTTTTGAATGTCTGTGCTGCAAAAAAGTGGGAGTGAAGGTATACTACTTAATGCTGGGAGCTGCTTCACTTGTAGTGACATTGCTCAAAAGAAAGCTCTTGCAGTGGATCCAGCACTATGAAAGATGAAACTGCATTGCCTCTTTCTATATAACAAGTGCCAAGACACGCACTAGTACATTACACTGTCCTTGTTTTGTGTTGATTGGGAAGTTACTTAAGATAGGAGAGCAAAGCACTTACTCAACAATGTGTTACACCAATTATGAGCAATTTGAATCTTCACTCCCTGCAGAAACTTACTCTAGCAAAAATTATTTGGCAAATTATCTAGTTTAATTTCTCTCTAGTTTTCTTCTTAACAAAATGCATTCTTGGTGTTCCTTTAGCCAGTTCCTTGGGTTTAACGTCTGAAGAAAGCTTATATTGCATAGTTTCTTTATAGAATCGTAGAATCATAGAACGGTTAGGGTTGGAAGGGACCTTAAAGACCATCTAGTTCCAACCCCCCTGCCATGGGCAGGGACACCTTGCACTAGACCAGGTTGCTCAAAGCCTCATCCAGCCTGGCCTTGAAGACATCCAGGGATGGGCCATCCACAACATCTCTGGGCAACCTGTTCCAGTGCCTCACCACCCTCTCTGTGAAGAATTTCTTCCTGACATCTAATCTAAACCTCCCTGATTTCAATTTAAACCCATTACCCCTTGTCCTATCACTACAGGCTCTTGTAAAAAGTCCTCTCCCAGTACCCTTGGAGGCCCCCTTCAGATACTGGAAAGCTGCAATGAGGTCTCCTCGGAGCCTCCTCTTCTCCAGGCTGAACAAGCCCAGTTCTCGCAGCCTTTAGTCATAGGAGAGGTGCTCCAGCCCTCTGATCATCTTCGTGGCCCTCATGCACAATAAGTTCTCTTTTCCAACCCTGCCATTTTCAGTTAGGATGGAATGTTTATTCCTAAACATTCATTTAGGAAAGTTTGATGTTAACCTTTCTGGAACTCAAATGGATTTCCAAGGACTCTTCAGAATGCATTAGTTTTTCTAATTTTGCATGAATATCAGTTGTATTAGCTGGAAGCTTAGGAGAATAACAAGTACAAAGTAAGCCTCTCTAACACTGAGGTCTTTACTGCTTCTCACTAATATTTGTCTTCATAACTACTTGGAGTTACTGTGTGTAGTATTATGCTTCATCTCTTTGGGGCAAGGGCTACAGGCAATGTAAATAGTATTATTTTCCTTGTCCTTACAAAGACTTCATCTGCTTATTATTGCAGCTTCTGATTGGCTTTGAGTCTGGAACAGTGGTATTATGGGATCTGAAGTCAAAGAAGGCAGACTATAGATACACTCATGATGAGGTAATGTTTTTCATTGGAATTACTTACTATAAGGGTATCATTTGCTATTCTAATAGTGATATTTTTAATGTATATATTCTCCTGCTTCTGTCAGGAGTGGATTAATAAATAGGTCTCTTTGAAATGGCAAGTACTTGAAGTTTTCTCTAAAAGAGCCGTAGAGTTTGTGTAATATAAACTTCAGACCAAATAAGTGTTCACAGGTTTGAAGTTTATGAAGCAATGAATGGTGGCATGGATTGGATTGCTCTGCTAATTTGGGGGTCTTGTGGGGGGAAGCTTTCAGATCTTTTTCTGTGATTCAATGTTGTGACTTTCACCTGTGTTAAGAGCTTGAGTCTTAAGTTGAAACAAGACGGTTCAGATATTTCTGTAACTTGGAAACTCTCACATTGTGGAAAAGGTGTGGAGGAATAAACCACTGAATAGTCCTGCCTGGACATTTCTATAAACAAACATTTTCTTTGTAGGATAAGATCAAAGTTTGAAATAAGATTGTGTGAGGTTTAAAAACAAACAATGGTGTTGAATGGCATCTATTTCTTTAAAACTTGAGTCTTGAGCATGTAGGCTTTTTGAAGACTGAAATTAAGAAAAACCTTTCAACATAATATGCAAGTTGATGTATTTTATTTAAAATAACAAGCTTGTTCTTCATTATTTCATTGACTGTAAAATATCTGTATCATTGTTCAGGACCAGCTAGGCTTGTTTCTTGTATCACAGTGAGTGTGTTTTCCTTTGTTCTGTGCGGAACTTTTCACAGCACAGGAATTGAGGTGTTTTGTGGTGGTTCCGGCTCAGTACTTGTACGTTTTAGCTTTACCAATGTATGATTTCTTTGAAGGGGGAGTCTCTGAAGTAGTCTAAGGCTTAAATCATCAGAGTTATATTAGAACATCAGAGCTGAATGAGGTTTCTTTGTCTGTTCAGAAATGTCTGTATAAGCCTCAAAGTATGTTACTTGAAGAGAAATGTCCTAGCTTCCAGTTTCATTGCATGCACCTAATTAATTCCCTCTGTTGCTTTGTTTCATAAACCTATATGTTGCTCCATCTTTTTCCAGTATTAATCAAGTGCTTCTTATGTCTTTTATTCTTCTTGCTCTTATCTAGCTTTTTTTAAGCACTCAGTTTTATCTTTGTTTTATATTAGAGAAACGTAACAGCATAGTATATTCAAGATGTGGGCACGCTGGATATATCATGGAAAAAGTATGTTTGGTTTTGGTTTTGCTCTTGATCTTGGTACTGGATTAGCCTTTTGATGCTGTAATCATTAAGCAGATACTTCTTTGCAACAACCCACTATAAATCAAGTCTCATTCTTCAGTGTTAATTGTCAGCTCAAAGTCCACTGTGTTTATGCATAGCTTCACATTTACATATTTGACAATAAAAAAAAAATCTTTAAGTCTTTCTGCAGTTCTTCACTGGAATCCTGATTTTTACCTTGAATATGCTTTGGTACTGTCAGCAGACATAGCACCTTAAGATGCTTGTTCCAATTTTCCATGTTATTTATGAGCAAACCGAGCAGCAGAGATCCCTGAGGGTCTCTACCAATTACCTTCATCCAGGAACTAATCAATTACTGCCAGCCTGTCTTTATTCTAGCTTGTTTTACTTCTTGATACCATAACCAATTATTCATCTGTTCAAGGATCTTTAGTTTATTTGTTTTCATTTTCCTTTGAGAGATGTTGAAAGACTGAAAATTGTGTAGACAGCTTAATTGGTGTTTCCATTATCCACATGCTTGTTAACATTTTCGGAGGTTTGTTGGATATTATTTCTTTTAACAAAAAGTATGTTGACTTCTACCTGGGATATTATACTTATTTATATGTTGATTAATTGTGTTCTTTAGTGACTCTTATTGCAGTTTCTAGGAACTTACCCAGGGCAGACACTATATTGTTTATTCTGGTTTTTGCATGTTGTGGTCCATTTTAAAAAATGGACCGATCCTGATTTGAGAGGTTGCAAATGGCAGTGAACAGATTTAAAGTTGAATACATCTAGTTGTTCGGTTTGTTTTTAGTCACAGAAGAGGTAATGAAATACCTCAGCTCAGAGCATTATCCTAAGTTGGGAATGTATAGGAAGGGGAGATAAAAAAGTATCTATGAAGTGAACTTGAGTTTCACTGTTCTCATTAGTAAGAATCAACATACAGTAAAGTTGCTTAAAAAAATGTTGGCCGTTCAAGACTTAAAAGATGACGTATGCTTTTCCTGTGATTTCAGAGGTGTAATAATGCCTTATCTCATGAGATCTCATCTGCTTCTGAAAGTGTGGCCCAGGGCAGAGAAAACTGCCGTTTTGTTTTCTTCTAGCAAACCTTGTAAATTTGAATATTTCTGTGCACAGAATCTTTCTAGTTTTTGTTTCATGTCAATTTCCTGGTTTGGTGGTGTCTCTCATACATTGCCTGTAGGGGCTGTATTCCATCCATGAACATGTTTCACCTCTTCTTTCACAGAGGGTAATGCACGTGATGTTCTGCCCTGTAGCAGAAGCAGGATTTTAAACCTTAGGATTTATCTCCCTGGTTCTCTGCTTGTTCCTGATGAGATCACTTTTGAGTGTGGAGTTGACAACCAGCGAGAAGAGAACAACTTAGTCCGATCTTGTCACGCTGTAGGTGTGTTGCGGAGCTGCCCGTCAGACACAGGAAATGCTGTCTGGTCTCCCTTCTTCCTGACTGTGCCATCTCAGGCTGCTGAAATGTAGCAGGGGAGGGTCACAGGGGGATCTTGTTTGGTGCATCAGGCCTGCTTATTAGCACCAGGGAAACATTCTCTGGCTCTAACAGTGTTGAAGACAAATAATCTGGTACTGGTTTAACTGTATAGTCTCATCAATGTCATAACCTCCATCACCAGTTATTGCAAAGGTGATGACTGATTCTGGGACTATTAAAAATTGCAGTGCTCTATCTGGGATGTGAACTTTATGGCTGCTGGAACTTACACGACTGATACCAGCAGACCTGGGTGCTACAGCACAGCAGTGGTTCTTCGGGACCTGGAGGCACAAGTTGGAGCTCTCAGGACCCTGGAGCTGGATTCTTTCCAACTAGGCAGTCTTTCCTGTAACAGTGCTGTGAAACCCACTTCTCTTGACTGATGGTGGCTGTTAATGGGTGATGAGGCATCATGAACAGGTTGGCCAGGCACACTGATACCATAAAGACTATTTGCTGGAAACCTCACTATTGAATTAGTCTCCTCCTCTCTTGCCACTTTGTAGTTGCCATTGGTCTTAAAACATCTAACTTGAGGGGCTGAGCAGCCTTTCCTCATCATTTGATGCAACTATTTTTGACTCGGAACTTCAGGTGTGTCTAGGAGTCCAAATGCCAACCCTTTATGATCTTCTTCTGGAAAGGAACAATGAGGGTCAAACTTTTTGCATGATCAGAGGTTTATTTAAAGACATCCATGGGATTTCTTCAGGGAAGAAGCTGAATCCTATTGTATCGTTATTGCTTCCTGCTTGGTTTCATTCCATATTACCTCACCTTTAGGAGGCTTTCTTGAAGCCAATTCACATGTTGGGGTGGGGTGGTCTCATTTGTGGCCTGAAAGCTAGTTCTGTGGAACACTGTCAAGGCTTTCTTCCTGTCTGAACATGTGTGCCTGCTCAACACCTTGCTCTGAAAGCTGTAGCATCGGAACACTAGGGACACTCATCCCAAGGATAGGAATGCTTATAGGGTGGGCAACACACCTCCCCCCCCCAAAACCTTTGTAACCATATTTCTGCTTAACTATGGCTGGGTGAGGCAGCTCTAGGTCATAATTAGTGTTAGTGCTGATTGCTGGCCTATTCATTCCTCCACAACGTTTTAGTTCATAACAGGGAGTTTCGTTAGAATTTGGGGTTTTTTGGTTTTTTTTAATTTAATTTTTCTGTATTACAAATGAGATCCTGAACTCCCAGTACTGTATACTATTTATTATAACAGCAATATGTTGCACGTTGAGAATTAGAAGAATGCACAAATGTAACATTCTTTTTCAGAGAATTTGGAGGAAATAACCTGTGACATAATGGAACTGCAGTTGTGAATGAACTTTTCTTTAGAAAGTTTCTTTGAAACCTTTTCCTGGAAACTGTTATTTTTGTATTCAGCAGGCTCAGTGGAAAAATAAGACTGTAGACTACTCTTGTATCATTCCTAAAACGTTTATGTTCCAACATTGGGGTTTTAAAATACTATGAATATCTTATGTGGAATGCAATTTATACTGTGAACGTCTTCCATAATATATTTTCAGCCATGAAATAAATAAAACAAATGACTCAACTATTAGTTTTGTTTCTAAAAAAAATGAAGTGCAACTTCTGAAACCTAAAAGTCATTTTTTACAAGTCCATTCTGCAAGTAGTACTTGGCTTGTTCTGATTTAAAGTAAGCTTTGAGAGCATTAACTCGGTGAATGTATTATAGCTCACTATTTTTAGGATCAATGTTCTGGTACATGGCTGAGTGTAAGATTATTTTACAGCATTAAAACATGTCAAAGTAGCCTGTAGGATTAAGAGGAGGAAAAATAAAGCAACCCTGACATGTGACTTGCCAGAAACCAAAGCATGTCAACACAGTCATTAGGCACTTGCACGTTTTATTGCATCAAAATGATCTTCATATCATCTTGCCATTTAAGTCTCAGGAGCTACTGTTGGTTTTTTTTTTCCCCCCACATTTGCAGCATTTTTAAGGATATTGTCGAGCTATTGCAGTAGTAAAACTGAATTTTATATAATGTTTTTAAACATGCATTAATCTTTTTCAAAGTTAGTGATCTACTGAAGATATTTCTGTAGGAGTCTTGCATGTAAGTGCTTTCAATCTTGTTCCTCACAGTTTTTCAGTTTCTTATTTGTGATAGTATTTCACACTCCTATAGTCTCCTTCAGGTAACTGTTACGGTCATTACAAGAATGTTTCCTTCTGAAAACAGATGTGATCCCCCTCTTTGCAGGCAGCATACCAGGCATTTTTCCACACAACTTGTAAAAGTGAGGCTCCCTGTGTGCACAGCCTGTCTCCATGTAATACTCTGGGATGGTTAGTTTCTACATTTCTGGTTAAGTTTTGGCATATGTAGAACAGGGCAGTCAATCATGCTGGGTTTGTTACTCAAAAAAAGTAAGATTGGATTTCCCCTCCTAGAAAACATAACTGTCTTGGAAGTTTTGGGACAAACTTCCATATAGCCTGGAACAGCTATCTTAACTTTGAATTCATGTGAAGGGAGTAGTAGGAATACTTTTGACTACTATAACTAAAGGCTTCTTAATAAGTATATTTAAAGATTTATTTAGATAAAGGTGGTTGTATGGTGTTTTGGTGGGTTTTTTTAGACCTTTCTCTGTATGAGTTCCTGTAAGGTTACCTGTGTTTTGGTGCATGTTTGTAAATGGAAGGATTCAGAATGTTAGTGACATTCGGACTTGGGTTACCTGTGCAGACAACTCCTCTCAAGGATACAAATGCTTTGTGCCTTAAATATAGCAACAGTCCTCTGTGGTACTAGTGTATGATCTTGTCATAAGGGATTACTCTCTGTTTGGGATCCATCTGACAAGTGATATATTCCACAAAAATATTTGACACGCAGCTGAACCAGCACAAGCTGATTTTTAGCATACTGCTGCATTATGGTACTATAAGAAGTTTTAAATAAAGATGAGAACTATGGTTAAAACCTAAAGTTTTAGTCTGGATCACTAGTTTTTTTGTAAAATATTGGGGAAAAAAGATATTAGTGTCATAAGAAGCTATGTATAGGTTTGCAGCCTCAATAGATTTTGCCTGACTTCTGTCTTGGATGTTATGTTTTCCTTCAAGTTCTAGCACTAATAGTAACTATGGGGAAAAAGTCAATAATTTTTGCTCTTGAATATTGGGATGATTTTTCAGTTACTGGGTTTGTATTGGTGATGAGGCTATTGATGTCAACCAGCTAGTGCCACTTGAAGTTACTGTACTTTTTCATTGAAACTGACTTGTCTCTGTAGATATACTAACCTCATGTATACCTAGAGTTTATGCTACAGCTACTTACATGCCTGGGTTTATCTTTCAGGTTTAGAAACATTTGTGAATTGTGTAATAGCAAAGGACAGTGCTCTGTACCAAAATTGTTATTCTCAGCCCACAGAATTGCTAGCTGGATTATTTTAAGAATACATGAAACATGCTTTTTTTTTTACACTTTAAATAATCTTTAGCTGCATTGCTAAATATAACCAGATGCTCTACATAACTAGGCAGTAAATATCCATAAAGCCAAAGGCCTCATTCTCTTTCGCTGTTCTTTCCACCCCATCAGGTTCCTTGCAGAAATTGGTAGCAGTCATCCTTTTAATTTGTGCTGTTTATCAGATCTTTTTACATTCATAAGCATTAATGCTATTTCAACATTAATAGGTTGTTACCTTTTCTTCCTATTGACCTTTTTCAAGAAAAGGCAAGTGTTCACTTCTCAGACTTATTTATCCTTATATAAAACTTGATTTTTTCACTTGTTTGAGACCTATTTCTACATAAGTGTGTATCAGAAACTGGTCTGTTTACATTATGGGCTCCCTATTGTTAGGGTTAAATACTCTCCAATGAGGAGTCTAAAACCCTAATCATGGTATAGGTAACTTCTTTTCTTAGCGAAAAGAGCTTTTTGAAATGCAACCTTTTGCTTTACTGCCTAAGCACTTTCCTACTGGCTGATCCCTGACTTTTGTTTAGTACTATGCTGGTAAACAAAAGCTTCCAATATTTATGCAAAATTTGTTCTATAATACCTGCTCTTATTTGCTAACAAAAATTTTTGTTACAGATAGGATGAGAAAAAGACTACTTCAATTTGACCCTAGGAGATTTCATGCAAGAAGTCCTAGGTTTCTGAGCTACATATGTGTGACGTGATATTTGTACACTGTATTTGTCTTCTAACAAAATCTATAGTGTATCCACCCTACCTATGGAACAAGATAAAGTTTTTAGCATTTCTTAATAAAATTTAATCTGCAGTTTAGATATCCACATCTTCCTCTTTAAGTTGGAGTAGTTATTTACAGGAAACTACACTCACAGTGCAGTCATTTTCTTCTGTCACTTAATCTCTAGATTATTCCAATCATATTGCTGGAAACTGTTTTGTATAATTTTGAAATGCGAAGGCTGATCTGTATATAATAAGTTTACACAAAGCTAACTTAGTATGTGTCTTCTGTGATTTGCTCTTCACCTAGTAATTTGCTGCTGAAGACTTCACTGCTGGTTATGGTTCCCTACTACCCTCATGCCCTGGTTTCCTCACAGAGGAAATTCCTGGGTACCTGAGGAGTTGTAGTGAGTCTAAGCCCAGACAGAGTGTCTATGGAGGGTATTAACTCAAAAGATGGTGTTGTACAGCCCATCAGCATTCACGTATTCAGTTCCTGCTTTCAGTTTACTTAGTGTAATGTGTTCACCATAAGTGTTAAGCAAATCTACCTTCTCAGTAATATCCAAGTTGCATACTTTGATACTTCCTTCTGTACATTTTGGGTAGTAGTGAAATGCTTTATTTTCATTGTTTCCTGATATTTTCATGCTATAACTAAAATTCACTTGAGCATCACCAAATGGTTTCATAATGCTGCTGGAAACAGAAATGGCACCAATATTTCTTTCACTAGTTAATATCTTTGCCTAATTTATACTCTTTGCTTTGCTGTTTCCTTTTATCTCACCTTAAGGCAGCAAGTAAATTTCTTTTTTTTTTTTCCTGCAGTAAGATTTCATATGGCATGGCTTAATCATGCCATTCCTAATTTTTTGTATTTAAAGATCTTTCTGTATTTATGGAAAGACTTACTGGTAGATTCCTACACTTTCCTGTACCTCAAAATTGCCATTGCGCGTTAGAATGTTTATTCTAGGTAATATTTTATCTTTATCATTAGTTCCGAAAAATTTCATCATAACTTAAATTCTCATTTTACTTATGTTCTCAACCCATGCTTGCCTCTTGTGCATATTTTTTGTATGGACAATGTATTTTTCCCAGTAATAAAAGATTTTGATTAGCAAAGCTCAAGTAAGTACGTTTAGTTATTCTCTGTATGTTACCCACTGTTGAAAAATACTACTACACTGAGGAGGTTTTTTCTTCCCCTTAAACATGTCATTAAAACAAAGACAGTAAGTTTTCCATCTCTAAGTACTTCTTTCAGACATACCTATCCGTTAAAAATACTAAGTAAGGAAGGTAAATGAGGACATACTAAGAGCAGTATGATTTAATTAGTACTTTCCTTAATTTTCTTTGGTGTCATGTCATTGAGGAAGTAGTAAGGATAAAATATGCTAAGATACTTACACTGTGTTGGCTTTTTTTTCCTTTTCTTGCATAGGCTATCCACTCAGTGGCTTGGCATCATGAAGGAAAACAATTTATTTGTAGTCACTCAGATGGTACCTTGACCATATGGAATGTAAAGTCTCCTACCAAACCATTCCAGACAATTACTCCACACGGTAAGATGAAAAGAGAAACCCAGTGTTTGACAGCTCTTAAAACACAGAAAACTTATTCTTAATTAAAAGTGGATTCTGTACACTCAAGTACTAAAAATGCATTTGCAGTGCAAGTAAAAGAAATCTGATAGTCATATAAAACTGATAAATTTCATGAAAAGAAAACAGCCCAGTATTTGTGAAATAAGAATCCAAGTAAGTGCAGTTTTGTCTAAATTTCTAAACTTTAGGTTGGTCTTTCACACAATGGCACTGATGTCAAAATTAAATAATGCATATTTTGTAGGACTTGCTTTTTGCTTGATGTTACAATCCCATATGTTGTTTAAAATACATAAAAACAAGCATCTGTTTCATATATAAATGTGTAGATTACCACAGAAATTCTTGGAAAGGTTTGTAACAGAGTAAGACTAGCATCTGGTAAAATGTTCCCACTTCTGAGAAGTCTTGCATTAATGTTAGTCTAAGAAATTAACATTACATGTTGCTGTTCTGTGAATTGTTGCTGTTTTTCAAAAAAAGTCCTATACAAATTTCACGTTTACATGGTGTGCATGTGTCTAAATTGTGTTTTAGCAACTTGTTTACTTCAGAGTCTTGGTTGAGAATGTAACAGTGAGGATAATCTGCGAGGATACAGCCATAATACACGACACTCTAGTTAAGCATCTTGGTTTACCTATTTGAGCCTCCAGAAATTCTGTTTACTGTGCTGGTTGTGGGCTACAGTGGAAAAAGGAAGATGTGGAGTCTAAAAATAAAATCCGACTGATGCTGTGCTAGCGAAACTAGTTAGACAAGACCAACCTTCTTAATATGTTTTGACCTTAGGATCTTTAAGGTCCCTTCTAACCCAAGCCATTCTATGATTCAATTTTATATTGCAAAATGGTAGACATGAGAGATTTTAAAACAACCAGTTCAACTTAAAACAATGTTTAATAAACACTTATTTTGGTATGCAAATTAAATTTTCTGCTTAACTTTATGGCTTAACTTCATAGTTGTATCAGACTATCAGTGTTCAGATAGAAAAGATGTATATTTACACTATAATCTTAATTTCTACTGACTCTGTAGGAAATTGTATGTGTAGAAGTTTTAGTTGTTCATAGTGCACAGGAGAGAGAGTGGGACTTCACATTCAAATTCAAGTCTTAGCCCATAAGGATAACAGTCAGAATAAACCTCATTTTACTTGTAAGCTGACCAAGCACCTCTCCTATGAAAAAAGGCTGACAAAATCGGGCTTGTTTAGCCTGGAGAAGAGAAGGCTCTGGGGAGACCTTATTGCAACCTTCCAGTACCTGAAGAGGCCTACAAGGAAGCTGGGGGGGACTTTTTACAAGGGCCTGTAGTGACAGGACAAGGGGTAATGGGTTTAAATTGAAAGTGGGGAGGTTTAGATTAGATATCAGGAAGATCATCTTCACAGGGAGGGTGGTGAGGCACTGAAACAGGTTGCCCAGAGAAGCTGTGGATGCCCCATCCCTGGAAGTGTTCAAGGCCAGGCTGGATGAGGCTTTGAGCAACCTGGTCTAGTGGAAGGTGTCCCTGCCCATGGCAGGGGGTTTGGAACTAGATGATCTTTAAGGTCTCTTCCAACCCAAACCATTCTGTGATTCAATTTTAATTGCAAAATGGTAGACATGAGAGATTAGAAATCTACCAGTGCAACTTAAAACAGGTTTTTTAGGGCAGAATTACATTTTTTTTGAAGACAAATGTTCTACAACACTTAAAAAAAAAAAAAATCCACAAAACCCAAACCCACAACTCTAAACCTAAAACTCTCAATACACCATCATAGAATATTTTAAAAAAATCTTCAATGATATTATTCTAAGGCATACTCTAATTGTTGAGGATGTTGAATATATGTTTGTGTCAGTGCTCTTCTTGGAAACCTTCATGATTTGTCATGATGTTATGGAATTGCAAGATTAATCTAAGAAAATAATTCACTTTAGGAAAGCAGCTGAAGGATGGAAAGAAGCCAGAACCCTGCAAACCTATCCTTAAGGTGGAATATAAAACAACTAGAGCTGGGTAAGACTTGTTTTGTATGCAAAGTTAATGTACATAAAATAAATGCATCTCCCTGGGAATCAGCTTTGTTTCCCAGTTGTTGAGATACATATCCTGATGGTGCTGAGCTATGGTAAAACAGCTGAAATGGTTTTGGTAAATCTGATATTGCTGAATAACCTACAAAAACGTGTGTGAACAAATTACTATATACAAACCTGAACTTAGGTAAAGATACTGCTAATGCATTATCTACATGCTTCCATGTTAATAAATCTGTGTATTTTTGCTCAGACTTTTGAGAGTGTTAAAAAAGAAAAGGCTGATAAAGCACAGAAGACATTGAAACACAGACCTGAAAAGCTGCTTTTTGACAAATAGTAGTCTGATGTGAATATTCTAAATTCTGAATGCATGTTCCTCCTCCAGAAATGTTACTGACAGAAGCTTTTCTGGTAGAGTGCAGTAATTTATGCAGTGAATTGTGCCTAATTATGCACATTGAGAATGTAACAAAGCAGTAATTGCAACAAGAGGCTCAGATGGAATTACAGTATCTTGAGTAGAATGTTTTGTTAGCAAGCCTGCAATTAGGGTTGAGTAATTTCATGAACTGTATGGAATTCTTTATTTACATTTCTAAAGTGCTTTAGAGTGTTTGACTAAAAAGTGCAGGATAAATATAAAATATTCATGGAAACCTGTTCAGCTATTTGCAAATGTTGATTTTTTTTTTTCTTGTTAATTTTCTTTTGTGTTGGGGTTGTGTATTGTTTTCATTTACTTTTCAAACATTCGGGTCTACAGCAGATTGTTACTTAATTGATGCAGTGTATGTTTCTACTGTATATTGGTATGCCCATACATACAGTGGCTTTGTGTATTTTTATTGTTTGCTAAAAGTGGGGTGAATAGAAATTTAAGACTGGCTAATTCCCAGATACATGAACATGTATGATCAGTTGAATAGATGTATTTTACTTGCAGCAGTCTACATCTGTCTGCGTATTCCTTTCTCAACTGAAATGTCAAAAGCTGATCTAAAGAAAGATACAGATAAGCAAAAGTAGTGTTGGCTTCAGCAAGTTACAATTTCTGCAATCAAAAGCCTTCTGTTAGGAATAGTCATTCTGAAGGAAAAGTGGTTTTTGACGCTTGTTCTATGCAATTATAATATTCCAGTGTGAAAAATAGTTGACTTCTCACACAGTTTAGAGGACCTTACACTAGAATAATTCCTAAGAATATGTGTGTCTTTAGGCAGGTGGCTTTTTCATAACGAGGGCTTTCTTCTGTTACATCTCATTTTCTAGTGTTAATTCAAACTGAATGTTTTGATGCATTTCAATTTAATATTTTCCCTCTAATAGGTTTTTTTCCATCCTCAGAGTACTTCTAAATCTATAACTGTTGTAATATATTCCTGAATTTTAGTTAAAGAAGAAAAATTTGCACTACGGTGGTGAAGCAATATGCTGAAAACCTCTGTTCATTTACTGCTGCACATACTTCAGTTCACACTTGAATTTTCAGTTTTACTTTTCATTTTATTACAAGAATTTTAAGGCAAGACACAACTAACTTTCAGTACTTTATATTTTTTCTTTGTACCAAATGAAATTTATTAGGAATTTCAGCTAAAGCACTGTCACTTGCTGTTCATCACTGAATTTCTGTAGCACAGAGCAGAATCATTCTTGAAAAGGACCAAAGTTTTCCTAGCTACTGAAAGAATGTAAGAAATCAAACTTGCTTCTATAGCAGTCTGTCACGTTCTTCAAAAACCAAACAAAACTCATTCACAAAAAAAAAAGCCAAAACAAAAAGCTTAAAGCATGTTTAAGAAGTACTGTGTAATGTATACTTTTTTTGCTGTGCTGGTTTTGGTGCTTGTCTTTTTCCTCTAATTCTCCTCCTCCACTGGAGCAGAGTTGAGGGGGAGGTGAGCAAGTGGCTGTGTGGTACTTTATTGGTAGTTTTCTGCCACCCCATCGGTCTTGCTCCTCCCTTATCCAGTGTGGTCTAGGAGGATGTAGGTTTGTTTCAGTATCTCTTCACTTGTAATAGACTTCATTAATGTGATCTTTTTCTTTACTGCTTTTAATTCTAATAAACCTTCTTTTGAGAAAAGGTGTCCAGCACAAAACTGATTGCAACCTGTAGTAGGGGCTACAGACACTATTCTTTTTACTGTTGCAGCTGTTATTAATCCCTTCTCACTTTTATCCTTCATTATATTCTCCATATTATGAAGCTGGAGTTGGGAATACAGGAGGATGTGAGACTTAGTGGTTCATACAGACTACCTATGTATCTTAAGTTTGTAGCTTTTCTGTTGGGATTTAAGTCTACCATGCATAGTTTGTGTGAAATCTCCAAAGTGCAAGTTGTTTACTGTACAATAGTATGTCTGTAACTTTATTTCTGGGACAATATGTATAGAAAAGGTTACCATTGACAGTCACCCTGGGCTCTGGGGTCAAAAGGCAAGTTTTTAATTGAGCAAACTGGCATAATTTTCCAATCCCAGAGCATAATGTTAGTGTTCTCCAACCATTTAAAGTCAGCTAAAATACGTTCTTTGTGAAACGATGAGTTTCAGGGTAGGTTACCATTTGAGCTTGCTGAAATGGCTTTCATGTTGCCTTTTATGCATACTTTTCTGTCCAAAGTGATTCTGGAGAAACTTGAGCTTCCTAATGCCATTTCCCACTCCTTCAGATTCACTCCCTTAGAGTATTTACTCTGATTATTAGCATCGTGGTAAAATTGCCTAAGCTTATTCTTTGCTACTAGAGCTCTGTGTAATAGAAATTGCAGCTCAAAACTCTCCCTGTAAAACATAATCAAAAAGGGTGCTCTCTTGAGAGTTAATGCAGCTGTTGTTGATGAACTGTAGAGCAGTACCCCTTAGCAAGATGGATGTATATAATTGGGACCCAGAAGTTACAATAATGAGGTCTCCAGATAAGTAAAAGCTCTTAATCTGTTAATTTAGTTTGAATAGTATTATTCTGTGGTGTGAGATGGTTTGTTTAAAAGCATGTTTCCCAAGTGAATTTGTAATGTCTCTTCACTAGTTGAAGATTTCCAGTTAAAGTTACTCTTGAAGTTTTTTCCACCTTTATTACTAGGAATTAACTTCTTGACAAATTCACCCATGGTTTGAAAAGCCAGGTAGTACCAATGGCTTTACTTCTGTATACACTGTTTTCTCTTACATCCAGATTGCCAGAAACTGACTGACATTTGACAGTTTACTTATAAAATTGAGCAGAAACATCCTCCAGGGTTATGAGTCACTCAGCTATCAGTTGTGTTATGTTTTCAGACACTGCAAGAATTAGTCCTGTGTGTTCTAAAAGTTTTTTCAATTAAACGTTTCCCAATTTTGTAGTGAACTTCTTGTAGTGTTCCCCAAGCTTACAGATTTATCTGGGAAAATTAATGCTATGGGTTTGCTTCCATACCTGCTGAAGCAGAACAGTTTCAAAATATTTCTGTATCCACAGCTGCAAAAAATGCTGCATAGCAGTTCTCTAAGAGGTGAGCACTGCTTTTTGATATTTTTCAGGTAGGCAAAATGTAACTAACAAAGTTGGATCAAAAATACTTCACAATCTCATCTATTATGTATACACAATAATCTCTATTTTTTTAAAATTATGTATTTCTATTTAACATTCCTGTGCACTAACCTTTTAACATGTATCACAACTGATGGACAAGAAGTCCTTCAGCTATACAACAAGCATTTACTTGGAAAATGCACAGCTTGCGTTTGTGATAAGTACATGGTTTTGTGAAAATATGAAAAGTTCATACACTAACATGTACCATTCTTTCCAGGAGACTGAAGTAAACTTTAATCTTTGACTCATCTTCAAAAAATCCGTGTGACAGATATGTGTAATCTATTTTTAGCTCTTCCATTCTTTGCTTCATAAAATTTTCTCTGGATACTGACATAGCTGCTTCCAAGATGGACACAAGCAAAGGGTAGGATTCCTACCTAAAGTGAGCATAGAAGTAGACCAGAAGAATTTCACACTTCAAGTGCCTGCAGTTTCTCCAGAAATATAATGGGGAATTTGAGGCAAGAGTCAATAATGGGTGAAATTTCTTGAGCTGTGTACTTATAAACAGTCTGCTTTTTATAAGGTATTATGCCCTAATCTGATCATAAACAGTATTAAAGTGAGTGACTTCAGGAAAGAAGAAAATAGCTAGTAAAACAAGTATATGTCATAGGAAGCATGGATGTATTTAAAAATGTTTCTGTAAAAACTTTGGGGAAAAAAGTCTCCGATATCTTTACTTAAGACTAGAAGAAATATTTTCGCTTTACAGTACTCAGACATTTAATTATGCAGTAGGAGTAGTCTATGACATAGAAATAATTTCTTGAATTTTGTGCGTTGTGGTAGCAGGGGAAATGGAAAAAAGTCTAGAGACCACTATGGGCATTTATTTATTAGTCCTTGCTTCTTAAAGATGTTAGGTCTTTGAGGCTTATCAAGCAGCTGGTTGCTTCTCCAAGAGAGTCATGTTGTTGTGACTGCAAAATTACTTTACGCTGTTTGCAAAATTGTTCATCGTGCAAAATTTAGGGTAATACTGTACAGGAATTAAATGGGACTATTTCTTCCTGATCCTGCTGGAATATTTTATATTATGGATAAATGGGGCTGTTGGAAAATCTGAATCTGTAGTTCAGTAGAAAAGAAACAATTCTAAAGCTGGGGGAGAGAAAAAAATCTTGGCAGAGTTTGCAAAGATTGGGTAAATAATTAGTATATACTCAGAATGGTTTGGGTTGGAAGGGACCTTAAAGATCATCTAGTTCCAACCCCCCTGCCATGGGCAGGGACACCTTCCACTAGACCAGGTTGCTCAGAGCCTCATCCAGCCTGGCCTTGAACACTTCCAGGGATGGGGCATCCACAGCTTCTCTGGGCAGTATAGAACAAAAGGTTTGGAAGAGATGGCTGACTTGAGTTGTAGTCTTCTAACTTTTGGGGGTTAAGTTTTGAAACACATACCCAACCTACACATTGCTCAGAGCTAGTTTGTGTTATTAATTTCTCTCTGCTGAATGACATCTCGTTGAACTTTATATAAAGGTGACAAAAACTACATAGTTCTCTTTTTATGTATTATCTTGGTTTGATCCTAAATGCCTCTGCTTTATTCCAGGGAGCCGTTCATCATTCTCTCAGGAGGCTTATCGTATGACACTGTAGGAAGACGACCCTGTTTAACAGTTATGCATGGGAAAAGTACTGCTGTGCTAGAAATGGATTATTCTATTGTTGATTTTCTAACTCTCTGTGAAACACCATATCCTAATGGTATGCTCTGTAAAGATTTTTCTCAGTAATTCGACCTATTCTCTCTGAAGTTTTATCCTATCAGAGTATTCCTTACTATTCCCATTCTGTTCTATCTCTAGGGATCAGACTGGAGCAGCAACATCTGTTATCCTTATTGTCTGAAGTCTTATTTCCTTCCCAAAGCATCATAATAGAGTAGTTTATTATAAAACCTATTTTCATTCTAGAAGAACGCTGATTACTGGTTGCATGGTTTTTCCTTTTCTTTAATCCCAAAAGCATGTGCAGACAAAAAGCGGCATTACAGTTTTAAGATGCAGTTACTGCAGCAGATGTGTTCATCAGTATTTACTTGAGTGCCCAAGACCTTTCTAGTCAATGCTGAATCTTAATTAGCAGTTGTGTAGTACTTTTAATTTTGAGTGACTTTATTCATTACAATACTCGAAGTTCATCACTAACCTCTAATCCCTGTTCTTCAGAAGGGGATTTTTTAATCATAGTTTAGGTAGTTTTCCCAGATTAATAGTATTATATTTCCTATGACTTCAATGTTTTTAGCTGTCAACTTTCATCTGAGTATATCAAACAGCTTAACTCAGAATTTGAGGTCTGCCTGAAAGAGGGCAAGGTAAACTTCGGCAACTTTAAATTTTGTTATTGTAGTGTCAAGTTGTCTGTCTTTCAATCCGTTTTGTAAGCAATTAGAATTTTAACCCTATGAATATAAGGAAAAGCACTTTGGGGGTGGGAGGATGTTATTGTTCAGTAATTGTCTCTTCCTCAAAAATACTGCTTATACAAGTTCCTCTGCATGTTCCTTTTCCTGTTATTTGAGATGTTTAAATTGTTCTAGCAAACTGGGAGAGAGTTGAGAATATTGAATTAAAGGGAGAGTGTGGCTTTTCCAAACTTGGAGTATTCAGGGGGTGAGTGTATGAAATATGTTCACAAACTTTGTAGACATCTAAGTGTCTTTCTAATCTTGACTGATAGAGTATAAGAACTGATCACATTCTTGAGGCTGTGCATGCAAGAACTCCATATATCAATAAGTATCTTTTTCGTTTGTTTTCAGACTTTCAGGAACCATATGCTGTAGTCGTTCTCCTAGAAAAGGACTTAGTACTGATTGACCTTGCACAAAATGGGTAAGAATCTTGTGTAGCATTTTTAAGGGTTTGCAGCAGTGGTCAACCTCTTGTTCTGCTTTTTAATCTACCGTAATACTGCCCTGTCCAGAACATAAAATTTTGAATATTAAATATAAGGTTTCTTTAGCAGAAGACTGACTTTTCTCAAGTTAATATGTAGCAGATAAGTAGAGTATTATTTGACTTTTTCCAGGCTTGATTGACTATCCAAAATTACTCACAGACCACTGCTGCCTTTTAATTATCCGAGTTTGTTTTGAAGTTAATTCCTTAGTGTTATGAGGGGAGCTCAGAATTTGGGGAAGGGAGCAGGGCTAACAGCTTTTCAGAGAAGCCAGGTAATTTTGGCTGATAGTGTTGTTGTCATTGAATAAATATTTGCTGATTTGATTGCTAAATGAATTGCTATTTGTATGGTTTGTAGTAACTCAATACTGATGCAATAAACATCAAATACATATAATTAGAATTGTAACATCTACTGTCTGGCTTACTACTGTGGTAAGAGGTTGCTTAAAAGTAGTATCTTATTACAGTTTTCACACCTAATGCTTACCTAACACATTTTGAGTCTCTTGTTACTTTGTCTGTTGAACAGTCCATATTACCTTGTTAAGGTGGTGATTAAAAATTCTGGATCCTGCGAGTTTTTTATCAAGGGTTTTTAAATTATTATAGGCAGTAACAACTATTAATGGGTTAGTAGCGGAGAAACCTGTCGAGTAAGAATCTTTGTAGTGTTTTCTGCCTAAAAGATGCCAATGGTCAATGAAGGGGAAAAAAAAATCGTTGAGGATACATCCTTACATTTTTGTTTTACTCTAGAAGGATGTATTTCAAAGTCAATGGTGATACCTTGGGTGATAAAAACTACTGGATTTGGAAGAAGGTCAAGTTTAATCCTAATATCTCTGCAGCTTCTGAGCTGCATAGCTCTTTTAGGAAAATCACTTAGATTTTCTCAATTTTACATGGCTATATGCTGTATCCAAAACTTGTTTCTGATGTACCAATGGCATTGGAGATAAATGTTCTTTGAATGCAGGTTTATTTACCTCTTTGATTATTGGGGTTTTCCTCACTAAGGCTGTGTCACTTCTTATAGAGGTGGTGGGGAGTATGTGTGCATTTGCTTCTAATCAGTAATGGAATATTACTGTAACTTTTAGAAAGTGATCTTGGAGAAGCAAGTAGGTTATGAAAGTGCTGGACAACCTTCTGTTTAAAAACAGTGTGATAATACAGAGTGAGAAGTGGAGTCTTCTTGTCCTTCTCCCTGGAAGGGTAGGCTGAAGAGTTAGAAATAAATTAAGAGCTCCACATTACTACAAGTAGGACATGGTAACTTCATTTTTTCCTCAGGCCATTGAAATAGCTCTATATTTTTAAAAGCTTACTATAGGGAACAGCAGTGTTCTAGAAATATTCTAGAAACAGTAAAAAAATGGGTTCCATCTGGAGTACTATAGTATCTTGATAGTATACTGGATGAGCAGTGAAGTTACATAGTAGGTTTGTTCATAGTCTAATTTGCTATGTGTTTGTCTTCTTCCGTATGAAAAGAATGCGAACTTAGTCTGCAGTGTTTTACTTGTGCTCTTCCCTTTTCATCCATTAAAGGTATCCTATATTTGAGAATCCCTATCCTTTGACTATACACGAATCTCCAGTTACCTGTTGTGAATACTTTGCTGATTGTCCTGTGGACCTCATACCTGCTCTCTATTCAGTTGGCGCTCGACAGAAACGTCAAGGTTACAGTAAGAAGGTACAACACCTAGTACATACATATGTGTTTGAAAACACTGAAAGTGATCAACTCTAAGCAGCATGAGTGGCCATACTAAGACCAAAGGTCTGACTTGTTATCCTGTCTTTGGCAGTGGCTAATAGCAGATGTCTGGAGAGGATATAGCATGTGTCATGCCTCTAGTCATGCTTTCCTGATGTCCTCCCATCAACTGCCATATCATGGAAGCTAAGGGACTTCCAGGAGCAGGGGTGTTGTTTATAGCCCTTGATTTTATTTTTTTTTTCTCTGCAGTGGATGTGTCTAACTACTTTGGGAAGTCATGTGAAATGTGCAGTAATTTCCTTGGCTTAACTTTGCACTGTATGATATTTTCTTCCTCAGTGTATTTGTTAATCTTCCAGGAATGGCCTATCAGTGGAGGCAACTGGGGTCTGATCACTCAGAGCTATCCAGAGATAATTATTACAGGGTAAGTGTAGAAATACCTTTCTTGACTTGTTAAGTAGAAATAAGAATATTTTTTTGCTCTTATAGAAAATGATGTTCTAAGTGGTTTGAATGATTTAAGAAATTGTGTTCACCAGACAAGTCACTCATATAATCTTCTTGAGGCATTACACAAGAAAGCAAAGCAAAATGTGGAAGAGAAGATAGGAATAAAATCATAGCAGTTTTTTTACGGGGATTATTACTATTATGTGGTGTTATGATTGTCTGCTTGCTATCAGTATATCTTGGATGAAACTTATCTTTTATTCTTTAAATTTTGGAAAACAGTTGCATAGTGTTTTAAAGCCTAGAAAGTCCATTAAATAGAGTTCAATTCTCAAAGTTAAGTTTCTTCCTTTTTGCTTTCAAAAAAGGACAACCTAATACTTAAATTTGTTAATTTTGATCTTCTGAGTCTGATTCTTTGAATACTCCTCTCTAAGGAGCATAAATAAAATTTAATTTATAACTGTGCAGTGCGTTACCAAAAGCGAGAGCGCTACTAAAGTGATTTTTTTAGAACCACCCAGTAGTCCTAATGAGGATTACTGTCACTTTGTACTACACGTAGCAGAGACTCTGAGACAGTCCTGAAAAAAATCTAGTCATCTGATTCTCAGTGTCAAGGATAAATAAATAAGTTAGGTGACTCATTTACACTGAAATACGGTATATTTAGGCATCTCCTTTGCAAGTGTCACTCCAAATAAAGGGCATCTTCTAAGAAACAACACATGGTAAGGCATACAAAACTGATGGGAAATGCAGGTAACAGAAATCAGTATTTAAAATGGTAAAATTAGTATTAGTACAGTGGAATTTCAGGTAGCTCACCTACAAATGGTTTTTAATCCCTTCTGTCAAAAGTAACTGGGACACGTGTATGTAAAATATCAGCTTCCAGTAAATCGTGAAAATAGTGTCACTAAGAATATTAATAAAAATATATTCTCAGTAACAAATAGGTCTAACACTCCAACTAACCATTTTACCATCTTATTATTTTTTTAATATTTCATAGGCATGCTGATGGGTCAATCAAGTTCTGGGATGCCTCAGCAAGTAAGTGTTTTCAGTAAAGGTTTTTTCCTGTGCGGTAGGAGTTTTCTAAACATACTGATTTCTCTAATGGAATGTAAGTGCAGACTAGCTGTTCTCAACGTCTCCTGCTTCATGTAGAGTCAGTAACTCCATTGGAAACTTTTATTTAAAGTTAAATAAAATTAATGTTATTTCTTAGTTGTTTCACTGTTTTTACCATCTCAGTGAAGGTGCACTGCTAGTCCAAGGACCATCTAAAATGGCGGAGTTGAAGAATTTCTTACATGTACGTTCAGAAGCACGTTAATGGGCAGAGATGCCTGACTGGCAAATGCATTCCATTTTAGTACAGTTGAATTTTAGTAAGTTATTTCTGTCTTTTTAGACAGAAGCATGTGTTTATAAGATGGCTGTCCATAAACTAGAGTATCTAAAAATGAGAATTGGAGCCAGTAGTAGTTTGTGCTAATAAAATGACCTAGGCTTTTGTGAAGAATGGCATCAACAGTAAAATAAAGACACTTTGGAACACAGAACAGCCCTGAAGTCTGGTATCATTTTACATTTTTTTAGTTGAAGGGTCACTTGCATCGCATGTTCTACAGAGCTAACAGTGAGAAATACATTAAGAACTCAAATTAGAATGGACTTCACACTTACAGATGTTTTAATCAATCTAGTTCGGACTAACCTTACTCTTGGTAGTTAAAAGCAGTCTGACGCAATCTTGGAATCATTATCAGTTGTCTTTGAAAACTTGTGGAAGACTAGTGAGATTCCAGAACGCTAAGGGGTGTGTGGGTGTGAGAGGGAACAGATGCAATGTACATGTTTAAAAACTGGGAGGAGGAGTATTTGCAGTGTTACTGGTCTTTAATTTCAGTTTGGGGTGGGGGTGGAACAGGAGGGGGCAGGGAAGGAAACCAAACCTGATTGGTTCTGTGTGCTTTCCACTGAAGTATGGGAAAGGAGAAAGGATGCTATACATTAAGTTTTTGTAATGATATGATTAATATTTGTAGCAGTTATTTGGGCCATTGACTAGAGAATATTCCTGTGAAGTTATAAGGCAACACCAAGATAATTGAAAGAAAATGTAAGAAAGAATTACAATTACAACTGAGAATTATTTTGCCAATTCTTGAATAGCATCCAAGATCACTTATTTGAATAGAATACCAGTGATTTACAGTCAGAACTTATGTTCTAGAAGAAAAAAAAAAAGGAGGTCTAGTGGAGTGCAGTGTCATTGTTGCAGGAAGAAAAAAATTGGAGGAATGGGCTGTTAAGCCTGAGAACACAGGTGAGAGGCCATGGATTTGAAATACTCTAAAAAGAATGGAAATGAGCTTCATTTTTGCTGTTAAGCCTTAAAGCTGTGAGGGCTTCTGAAGCTTAGTATATATCTTCCAGGAAGAGTGGTGGGGTTTTGGATTTTTTTAATACTAACTGATCCTGCATTGAGCAAGTGGTACACTGCATGGGCAGAATCAACACAGATATTCAGTGCTTCTACTCTGCCTGCTTTTGTTGAATATAGTGACTTCATCTATGAAGAGAAGTTTCCAAATTAGAGAAATGAACGAGAGAAGTATTTGTTTAAATAAAAACTAACTTTTATCTCTTTTTTGATTTGTTCCTAGTAACACTGCAAGTACTCTATAAGCTAAAAACGGCCAAAGTATTTGAAAAAGCACGGAATAAAGATGACAGACCTAACACAGATATAGTAGATGAAGATCCGTATGCTATTCAGATCATCTCCTGGTGTCCAGAAAGCAGAATGCTGTGCATAGCTGGAGTTTCTGCTCATGTCATTATTTACAGGTTTAGCAAGCAGGAAGTCACCACGGAAGTCATTCCGGTAATCAGTATAACCATTCTTTAACTTTCTAGGATTTAGTTATAGGGTGACTGTTGTAATAATCTAGTTCTTCCTTGTCTTTCATTTAATTAGTGAAATGGACAAAAATAATTTCCTCAAAATGAGGAGATGTATTTTTGTGGAGGAATTACAATACATTAATAAATATGGAAAAAAAAATTAAATTGCACTCCAAGATTTTAATTTTCACTGGCTTTTCCAATTTTGCAGCCAGTGGTAGTTCTTTGTTCTATCTATCAAAGCAAATAGTGGATCTAAACTTGGCTGTATCAAAGGTAAAATTAAAAGACACAAATGAGATATGGAGTTGAAGAATTTTCAAAGCTTTTAGGGAGTCGATCCCATTTATTCCCTTGATTCCTAATAATTACTATCTGTCTTGGCAAAACTTCTGCAGCGTGCAGAGCTAGAAGAGTAGAAGCATGCCAGACATGCCCTAAGGTCTGTTAAGGACTTTGCTGTGTCACTGTTCTATTCTCTATAAGGTACAATGACGAGCTCTCTTCTAAGACTTAGAAGTCCTTTCTTAAATTTGACACACACATGCAACTTTATTTGTCGGAATGTATGAGCTGAAAGCTACCTTGAAGCCATTTAATTATAAAATATTTGGTTGTGAATAAAGCATTAATTGTAATCTAGCTGGTTTTCTCTCTTCCCAACCCTTGTTCTCTCTTCTCAGGTTAAGTCTCAGCTTAAGGAGATGAGACATGGTGGTGTTTGTTTTTTTTTTTTTTTCTTCTGGTGTTTAGTTCTGTACAAGTATATTCCCTCCTGGGGGAATAGTTTTTCTAAAGGATTTTTACAGATCAGCCCCTAGTGAACTATTCTTCAGCATTAGCAATACTTTTAAAAATACCATATAATTCTTTGTTTCAGTCCATGAGTTAAGCTCTACTTTGCAGATTATGAGAATCAAACAGCAGAAAACTTCCTCTACACTCAGCTAGTGTTTAGTTCTGTAAAAGTATATTCCCTCCTGGGGGAATAGTTCTTCTAAAGGATTTTTACAGATCAGCCCCTTAGTTGACTTAGTTAACTAATTACTAAGTACTAATTAACTTAGTAATTAGTACTAATGTTGTTATAGACCAGCAGGAGGAAATCTGAAATCATGGTATAGTTCAGTGTAATATTAAACACTGAACTAAGTCCCATGGGTACAGTGCTACAGCAGTATAAATTGTAACTGTCTACGTGCCTTCAGCTCTGACTTAGGTTTGGCATTCCCGAACTGCATGAAACAAGTAATCTTTACAACTGAGAATTTGTGCACGGAATGATAATTAAATGTCTTGTACCCGCTACTTATTTCCAATATTAAGCAGCAAACTTTTTTAAATATTGGGAAATAAGTTAGATTTTCAAGTTTTAACAATCTTTAGATACTCAGCCTGTAGTAGTTAATATGACTTGATTTCTGAAGACTACCTGCATTGTTTGTTAAAATATTATCTTTTAAAAGATGGAAAAGACCTGGATGTCCCTTTTACAATTGGTTTGTACTTCATTTTTCATATATAGTTTTTTGGAAAAGCAGAATCTACTGGTAATTCTACTTTCATTTACAGATGCTGGAAGTACGTCTGTTATATGAAATAAATGATGTTGAGTCCCCAGATGGTGACCAAGTGCCACCTTTACCAACTCCAGGCACAGGTTCCAATCCTCAATCCATTGTTCCCCAGTCACACCCATCTACTAGTAGCAGTTCATCTGATGGACTTCGTGATAATGTCCCATGTTTAAAGTAAGTATATTCTGTTATTTTTACATGTAAAACTTCATAAGAATGTGATGAGAATGCATGTGCATTCATCTGTAATAATTGATATTATTGATATTATAATTGATAATATTACAGAAATGTCATTGTTGGTAAAAACGTTTTATTTCTTAGAGCAATGTTTTCCAAATACCTGAAAGTTGAGTTCTTTTTTAAGAAATCAATAATGCAATCGTATTTCTTTCAACTTAAGCTGACTTTAAAAAAAATCTGAAAATTCTTACCTTATTCTACATAAAGCTTCTTGCTTTAGGAAATTTTGGCCTACCTGTTAGTGTAGTTATATATTCTTATGCTTTAGAAAAAACACTTGCAATAGCAGCAATATTATTTCAGTGGACAGTAAGTTTTCAAAGTAACAAATAGACAGCTTAATGTTTGTGGTTCTCAGCATTAGGTCGAGTATGTCTGAATAGATTTTACCTGAATTTTCCAAAACCTTAGAGTTTTAGAGCTAAATCAAAAGCAATGAAAATGCTTACAAATAACTAACAGGTAACTTTTTTTTAGGCTTACCAATTTATTTTTAACTTTAAGGGAACTAATTTGTGTTTTGGGAACAGGAAACAATTACATGTCCCATTCTCATGGATCTTCATTTTGCATGATGCATCGTGGTGTTTGCAGTGTAGGTCTTTGACCAAGTTTCAGATTTTTTTTTTAATTGGGAGATGTTCTTCCTTAAGTTCTTCATGTGTGAACTTTTACTCACTTGAGAAATAAGAAGATTCTTCTACAGGAGTGCGTTATGAGGCCTCTAGACCATCACCTTTTCCTTGCAGAATGTACATTGAACTTCACTTTCATATATAAAGTTAAGATTTGTTTTCTGAAGTTTTAAGGCATCAACTTGGGTTTTAATTCTGAGTGCATCCATCCAGAAAATAACTAATTCTGATGGAGTTATTTTCTTTGGGTAGGTGTTTTCATATCTTACTGGTTGGACTGAGTTACAGAAGTGTCTTTCTGAAGATGGTGAACTCTAAAAAAAACAAAAGACAGTAGAGAAAGTGGAAAATTCTGAATTTTTGTAAAATATTGGCAAACCAAAATATGCATTAATGAGAATGAATGGGTAAAACCAGGAGAATTTAGGAACTGGAGGAGTTTGTTCTGTGTAACTTATTTCACCCTTTTTAAAAGACGAAAGGCCTAATCCTTTCTGCAGGACATCAGTAAGTGTCGTAGTTTAACTCCGGCTAG